GAGAGAAAACAGAGACATCCTGACGCGGAGGCTGAAGGACGAAGAATGAAAAAAACGATCATTGCTGAAGCCCTGCAGGTGCCAGACTCTGGGCTCGGTGCTTTGTAACTGTCACGTACCCTGCACAGAAACCCGTGAAGTCGGCTGGGTTCCGGTGACTGAGAAAGCCAAGACTCTGTGAACAAGGTGAAGTAACGTGCCCAAAACTTCCCATCCAGGACATGGCAGGGCCAGAGCCGGATCCAGACCCTACCCGGACTCCATCAACCCCCGGGACACTCCAGCCTCAGGCACAAAGATACCTTGCACGTCTGTCCCGCTGAGCCTTCCGCTTGCTCAGCTTGGTGCTGCCTTACAGATGGATGCAGCCCTCGTGCCTCCCCCACCAGGCTTAAGCAGTAGTGTCTTCCTTTCCTGGAAACAACACTGATCCACCCCACTCTGAACTCCTGGTGCACTTAGTGCTCTAGGCATCTGATTCATGGAGTCGTGGCCTCAAGGTCAGGAGAGACCCTACGGGATGAGTCTAACCACTGTTCTTACCAGTGTCCCTGCCCCATCCTCCAGGTGATCAGCCAGCCCCTTCTGACCACATCCTGGGCCAGGAAGCTCACCACCCACCACCATTCCTTCTGTAGGGACTCTCACTGCTGGAAAGTTCTCCAGGTGTAAACGTCTGGGTGCCTGAGATGGAAATGTGAAGGGAGAACTCGAGGATGAGAGGAAGCAGGAGTAACGTGGTCTCTGCCACCACCCCTCCAGCAAATTCTCCCAAAGTGGCAGCTTTCAGGATTACTGAACATGTAACAGATTGAGCTAACAGTGATAACAGCAGTGATAAGACTATTGAAAACGGGTTAGTGGACACACCAGAAAGCAAGGCAGGCAGAGTGTCTAGGAAAGATGGGTTGCAGTTTCTCTTGGCCCCTCACAACCAGCAGAAAAGAGCTCCCTCCCCCACAATGTAATGGGCTACGCCTCTGGTCCAAAGGTTTCGCTTCTGCTGTCTCCAGTGTTTTCTTGAGGATAAGCTAATCTCACTTGAACATTAAAATAACTTTTTTGTAAACTTGGGATTTAAATGATTTTCAATTTTTAAAAGTTTATGAGATGGTCATTTTTTCTGGAAGCTTATTTTATGTTCTATTATTGTTATTTTGCTGTGATTCAGGTGTATTTTGCTTGCTTTTTGGTAAGAAAAGGAACCTAGCCCTATAACTTGTTCCCTCACTATGTCAGAAATAAAAGGAGATAGGACTAGTCCCTGAGGCTCAGAACTGAAGATTTTCCTCAGGTTGTCCTCAACCCATAATCAAGATTCTCTGGGAAAGTTTAGCCAACTAGAATTCTGCTTAACCAAAGTCATGCAGCCCCCATATTTTCAGCTTGTTGACAGATCAGTAAAGCTTGTCAGTTCCAGGGACTTTGTTGGTGACATGCCCATAAACAGAGGTCCTGTGGCTGATGAAAAAAGAAGTATGGTTTCTCCCAGACTGTCGTGTAACTGTTGGTGTGCCTGCCTTCTGCCCAGATGAGACTCTGGCTCCCTGAGCATGTGGAGCCTGTCTTTTACATCCTTGAATTTCCCCCATAGCCCTCAGTTTCTCAGAGGGGCCCAGCCCACCTCTCCAGACTCATTTGTCACCTACCCCTTTATCACACACAGGGCATGGCCTTGCAGTCCCTAGAATTCACTGCGCTCTTTCAGTGTCTTCTCCCTTATCTGCTGTCTGGCTACAAAGTCCTTTCTTCCGTCCTTGAACTCCCTGCTAATCACCAGTCAAATTCTGTTTATCTCTTCCCTTCAGGACATCCCATGCCTGACTCTTCCCACCATGCCCTCACCTTCACCTGCAGCCCTGTCACACTTCACTGTGATTATATCTTTACATACCCCAAAAGCTCCCTGAGGGCAGACTGTCCAGGGCCTGACACTTAGTAGGTGCTTAAATGTTTGCTTTCACCTGTTTCAAAGAGTGAGTAAACTTTGCAAGCTGCAAAGTGCTCCCAGATCATTGTCATCCTGGCTTTTTGCAGAGAAAGAGGCCTAGGCCTCTCTGAGCTTATATTCTACTTTGTTGAGGGTCTCAGCCTTCCTCTCCCAGGCACCCTTTTCTTTCTCTGTTCTGAGACTGCGTAGAAGAAGGGACTTTGCCAAATTCTGAGGAGAGCCCTGGGCCAGCTGCACAGGGACCATTCACTCCTTTGTTTACTCTTTATGACTGAGATACATGAGGAACCGAGCTGCCCTGTGTATGCAGGATAGATTCCAGTTGGTTTTCTTCCAGTCCTCAGAAAGGTAATAAAGAGCTGAAGAAAATGGGGGCTATAGGCTTGGCCCTAGAACTCAGGCGTTTTTGAAAGTGAGACTGCTTAAGCCAGGGGAGAAGTGCAATAAATCAGCCTCAGGCCAGGACTGCCTGAGAACCAGGGCTCAGGCGCTCAGAGTCTACAGTGGTTCTGTTGCCTGACATAGGAGCTCTTTGGGGACTGGTTTCCCACCCTCACCACCTCCTTCCCAAGCCCCAAGGTGCTCCCTCTCCTGCACATAAACCCAGGCAGGAAGCCCCTGCTTACCTCCTAGCCTTGCTTCCTTTCCTGCCCAGGAGGCCAGGCTCTTAGCTTTTGCCCATGCCCTATCCTGCTCGGAGCCCTCCTCCTGAGTATCCTAGTGCCTGGCCCACATGTCCTGTTTTCCCAAAAGCAGTGTCCTTGGTCTCCACCATTCCCCAATGCATTACAAGCCCCTTCACAGCCTAGCATCCCTTGCCTTGGAAGACACTTTGGAGGTCAGCACCTTTTTCCTCACTGAGAGAGGGGAAGGTGAGGTCCAGAGATACATCAGGTATGGTTTCTGCCACATGGCCTTCTCCCATCTCATCAGACTCCTCTTCTGAAACTCCCCAGTGGCACCAGCTCCCCCTGCTCTGTGGGAGCCCAGGCACTCTCTTAGCCATATCTCCGTAAGGGCTCCAATCAGCTGTATCAGTGCTGCCTCTCCTTCAAAGTGTGTGTTCCATGTGGAAAGGGACTGTAACCCAAAGGATGTAACCCAATCAAAGTGTCGTAAGCTAGAGGTGAGTGGCAGAGCAGAGCCCAGATCTCCTGAGATCTCACCCAGTGCTCTCCCTACCGAATTTTACATCACCCTCTCCAATTCACTCATTACCTACACATGTCCTGTCACTTGGATGACTTACAAGTCTCTCACCAGTTCCCCCACCCCATGGCAGAGTCACAAGATGTGATTTTGGGAGGGTGACCAAGGCTTGACCAGTGGCGGATCAGGCCTGGCTTAGGAATTCAGGATAGTCATTGGGCTCAGGAAAGAAGAACATAAATTTAAGGGCCTTTGCTGGAGAAGAGTGGTATGTAAGAGGTAGGCATTAACCCAGGACAGGACTCCAGAGAGGTGTGAGACATGGAAACCTATAAAGGACAGACAAGACAGTAATACCAGCCACAAAGGTCAAGTAAGGGTCCAGACCTCAGCTATTGATCCAGCCAAGTTACCCCTAGGGGGTAGGCACCAGAGGCCCAGGGCAGTTGTCATCAGAGAGATGACTGAAAGGTTCCAGGCTCGCTCTGACCCAGAGAAGAACAGCATTGGGGGGGTTCGAGTCTCCCTGATACCACAGCCTCTAGACTGGGGTGGGTGCATAGGAGTCATTAAGTGAACTTGTCAGCCAGGGTGAAAGTAGGTCTGTAAGAGCAGATCTCAGCAGGAACACTACTCATACAGGGTTCTCAGTGCCTGCAATGTGCCCACATTGTTGAAGACTGTGGAGGAAAAGGGGCCACATGCTAAACCTGAAAAGCTCAGGGCAGGCCTGCGTGGCAGTGTTGCAAACTCAGAGACCTAAAATTACCACAAAGCCTGGTCTGAAATTAAAACTTTTTATCTAAAAGCAGTCTATGGTGGGTAGTCACGCCCTAAAGCAGTATTTTTTCTTCACAAAGGTTGTCTTTTGCCTCTGAGATAACATACTTTGCAAAACAAAGTAATTTCCCCCTTCTCCAGGCCCTCAGTGCACCAGGGCAGAGGCCGGGAATCCTCCCATTGCTATTGCTGTCTTGTTACGGCTGCCTGTTAACTGTCCTGCGCCCACCTATGTAAAAGAAGTGTGCGTCTATCGTTTTACTTTTTATCCAGTCCCAGAGGTTTCCCCCTCTGCTTTCCCCCTCCTCCCTAATCTATCACCAATGGATTTCATGTAACCCACTTATGTCTCCCCCTTTGATTGTAATGCATAAAACACAGTGCAAAACTGCCATTCTTCGGAGCATTATCTCAACCCATTGAGGTTTTGGCTTGCCAGCAATTGTCAACAGTTTGGCTCAAACTCACAAAAATTCTTCACAGGTTTGAATGATTTCTTACGTTAACAAGACTCACTTCTACCCCCAGAGGCAGGCACTAGAAGACATGTGGGCTCGAGTAGGGAGCACCTGGAATGGAAGGAGAACAGATGAAGGCTTGCCAAAGTCACCCAGTGAGGGGCCAAACACAGCTCCTCCAGGATGGCAGTCATCTAATTCAACTTTACTGCCAGACAATCTTCCCTGGGAGAGTAAGGCCCTTTGTATTTATTTCATCCTCACCTGAGGATATTTTTACCATGCTTTTTGGAGAGCGGAAGGGAGAGAGAAGCATCGATGTGAGAGAGACACGACTGGTTGCCTCCTGCATGTGCCCCAACCGAGGCTGCAACTGAGGTACGTGTCCTTGGCCAGAATTGAACCCGGGACCCCTCAGTCCGCAGGCCAATGCTCTAACCCCTGAGCCAAACTGGCTAGGGTGAGAGTAAGACCCTTTGTACATCCACCCTCAGCCCCTGGGGCAAGGAGAGTCTGCGGAGGAGAGTTAGGATTCCCTGGGAGCTGGGAAGAAATGGTGGTCAGGACAGGGGTCCCCAAGGGGCTATCAGGCCAGGCAAGGGCCAGGCCGTTCTTTCTTTCTCAGTCTTATTCTGTTTCTCCTGAGTTTTTTCATCCTTGGTGTCTTGAACGTTCTCTGGCCTCGAACAAGCCACAGCCCCATGGCCAGAGTTACCAGGAGCAGGAGGAGAAGTAATGCCTTGGCCAGGAGGCAGAAGGAAACTGAGGTCTTCTCTGAAGGGTAACCAAGATCTGGAACAGAAGAAGGAAGGGGGGGGGGCTTACCAGATGGAGAGGTGAGGGGCAGACACCTCCTCAAATCCCACAGAGGGGTCTCAAGTTCACAGTCAGTTGGTGTTCCTTTGCAAATGTCTATGAAAATACCTATTCTATTCACAGAAGCTCAGGAACTGAGATCTTGGGAGCAATCTCAAGCTGAGCGAGAGAATGGAAGAGACCTTTGGAAGTTGGGAGTTCTAGGAAAAGGGGGGTCCCCTATCCAATCCAGGGGTCAAGTCTCTATGGGAGGGGATAGGTTCTAGATTCCATGTATTCTCCTGGGAAGAACTGAGGGAGAGACGGTGGCCTTGAGGCCCTGCAGTAGCTCAGGGCTGACTGAGGTCCTGGTACCTGCACAGAACTTCCCAGCAGGGAAGAGACTGGAACTAATGTTGCTGATGGGGTTGCTAGCCCTGCAGGTGTAGGAAAGGGCATTGTCCCCGGGCCTCCAGGAGGTGCTGAGTACAGAGCCTTCATGTGCGGTGTCAACGCCGTCCTCCCAGGATATCCAGCTGTAGGTCACGTCCAGGCCGGCCTTCTCTACAGAGCATGTCAGGGACATATTACAGGGACCTTCCCCGGAGACCTCAAAGTTCACGGTGATAGAAGGCTCCGACAGCCGTCCTAGATGAAAGAGGAACACAAAAGCCCTCTAATCAGGGCTGGGGTCTATTTTCCTAAGTTTCTCGACACTGGGATATGAGTGCTGTCCTTGAGAGCCCCTGCACCCAAACAACAGATAAACCCAAACTAACAAAACTCAGCCACCATACAACCCAGGGTCCCCCAGGCAGCTGCTGAGCAGACGGAGCTGCCTGTGGCATCTTCTACCTCCCCTTTATACCTTGCCCCTTTCTCCTACTTTGGCACCCACCTTCCTCCGAACCCCACTCTACCTCCCCGACCCCAGAACATACTGTCACCCTCTCGGGAACATGTGTAGTTTAATCAGTGTCTCAACAAGATTCCAGGTAGAGTATCAGTCAGTGTCACAGGCACTAGGAAGAAACTTGCATCCAAGTAAAGAGGAGTCACTGGTTAGTAGCCTTCAAATCAGTCAAGAGGATTAAAAAAGGCTCAAGAATGGAGGTGGCATTCACGCCCCCCCCCCCCC